TGCAGCTTTCCTTTCAACTGTGCAATGCAAGTAGCCAGAAGATGGTGACTAAACCAGCACTAGTCAGCCGCTAATCCAGTATTGTAATGTTTGAGTCAAAAATCCTGAAGGGGAATGTCCTTGGTGTTAAAAATCTGTTAGGCTGTGACTGGTACCAGAGGTTTCACGTGATACAAACCCTATTTAAGCAAAAAGCAAATTGAGGTAGGATCTGACCCAGCATCCCTCTGAGCTACTCTTGCTCTGTCGGTACCAAAATATCACCTACCATGAAGGATGTTTAATTAAGTTGCTATGCAGCAGCAAACATCTGAAGAAGGGAGTTGTATTTCACAAAAGCTTATGCCCTAATAAATTGGTTAGTCTTTAAAATTCCCTTGTCTACTTTTACTGAAAGACTAACACAGCTACCCCTCTGAAACCTATTAAAATATTAGATTTCTTCATGTAGTGCTGCACAAGTTATTCAAGTAATCTTATAGGAGACTCTTAAAGAACCAATGTTTGTTTAGGACACAGAGGACTGATAGCTGTTGTTCTTTGGCCTGTGTGGCTGCCTAACATCCATGACAAGTTAACCATGGTGGTATCAAAGGCTCTGAATGTGTGTATTAGTTTTAGAGGTGAAAACATTGTTATTTCTTCCTGTGCCTTGTGGGATACCTTAGCCCAATTCATAGATAAATGTTGACTCTGTTACGCCCACTTTAAATTCTTCTTAGTCAACAGATCTCATTCATCTGCATATTTTTTTAATTATTTATAGTTAAACTACAATGATCAGTGATTGATATAAAAGGTAAACTTCATCCCTCAGAACAGTCAAAAGCTGAGCCATATTACTGGGGTGGGCCAATACCACTTTGAGGGTCAGATCTGGTTATCCAGGGTTAGCCCCTGTGTGATGGAGTGTCCTGATCCATGCCACTTCCTGCCACTCCCATTGGTGGAAATGGCGATCGGCAGACAATGGGGCCATGCCACTTCCTGCCACTCCCATTGATGGAAATGGCGATCGGCAGACAATGGGAGCTGCAACTGCCCATACCTGTGGAGGCACAGGTAAATACAGTAGCAATGGCCTGCCAGGGCTAACCCTGGTGAATAGCCACCGTTTTATTGCCCATCTCTGCTCATTTCCATGGGCCATGATGTTTTCCATAGGTTGAGCAACAAAGTAATGAATACTTTGTATGTGCTATGCTCATAAACCAGGGGGCCTTTAAAAGCCTCATATCTTGTTTTTTCTGCTTTGTCAGTTCTGCAATCCCAGCTATTCTTTTCCATTAATTTTCTGGTAGTGCAATAATGCCAGAGGAGACTAAAGGATGTGAAAAATAGTCAATAAATGTTTGGCAGAATTAACCCAAGAACAAACTTTCTGTGCCACTATTATGCCAATATTTACCATAGGTTTTCTCCTATACCGTGTCTCTGAAGTTAACTACAATCTTATTCCTGAGCTAAATGTATGCAAATAGTAAGGTACTTGTATTACAAGAACATAGTGGCTGTGTCTACATTGGCAAGATTTTGCGCAAAAGTGGCTGCTTTTGCGCAAAATCCTACCGCCTGTCGACACTGGCCGCGAGTATTTGCACAAGAATACTGACATTCTAATGTACGAAATCAGTGCTTCTTGCGCAAATACTCTGATGCTCCCACTCAGGAATAAGCCCGCTTGCACAAGAGGCCAGTGTATACAGGCAACGTTAATTTATTGCACAAGAAAGCCCGATGGCTAAAATGGCCATCGGAGTTTTCTTGCGCAAGAGAGCATCTACACTGGCGCAGATGCTTTTGCGCAAAATCACGCCAGTGTAGATGCAGCCAGTAAGTACAGTCAGTAAAGCTGATTGTACTGACTGTAAGCATGGCTTGATCAAAGTTGCTTTTAGGTGTGGTTGGTCCCTGCATTTTAGTGCAATATACTGTATTTTGCCCAATCTGACAACCTCTACCTCTTAAATATATATATGCAAAAATATTCTAAGCCACTAAGCAGTTTTAAAATAAGACCTGACAAGCATCTGAAGATGCTTTCCTTTTAATACATAAGTAGACACTTTTCCTGTGGCTGTTCTTGTTAGTTAGAAATGCATTGTATGTGATTTAATGCCTGCCTCCAATGGGCCATCTGACCAAAAGGACTGCATGATGCCATCCTTTAGGATGCGATGTTATGGAAGGCATTGTGTCTTAAATGCTGCTAGCTGACTGGGTATTGAGAAATGATCTTATGTCATATTAAAATCTATTCACTTTATCTGAAATCAGAATGTGGCAGTTCACATGTGTTTATACAGCACTTAATAAAAGGGGTCCTGGTCTGACTAGTGATCTTTTTAAAAAGTGATTTTACAAGCTGCTCCAGGCTGGGTGCATCTTCCTGTATATTTGTACAGTGCCCAGCACAATGGGGCCTCTGGGAACCTCCATTATAAATAATACTGAATTACTGAGATCAGACACATCTACGCTATTTAACAATCTTTATTTTAGTACAAAACATCTATATCCTGTATATGTTACACCTGTCACTGCTGCCAAGGTCGCAAGACTCATTTGCACTGCCTCTGATGTTTACAGTATCCACAGCAGCAGTGTTCCACACCTTCATAATCTGATGTCAATGAAATGGCAAATGTGATGTAATGGTCAGATGACATTTACTAGTACTAGTTACAAAATTCACCCATTAGTCAGTGTGGACACACATGCACTTTGCAGCCACAGTTCGCAGATTAAGGAACTGATCCGCAGTATTCCCCGTGGGTGTTATAGTAACTGATGTATAGTGCAGAAATAAAAAGGATCCAAAGATGGGTGATAAGGACAGGAAAAGATAGAAATGATATAGGATCTCTTTAAAGAGGGTATAATAGGAGGCTATAATAAAATGCAATAGAAAAGATAAATTGAACATTCTTCCCCCTTTCAAATCGAGTGGACATTCAATAAAACCAGAAGGCTTTGTATTTTAAACCGATAAAAGAAAATACATCTTTACATAAGTAACCCATGAATTCATTGC